CTTTAAAAATAATTGTTTAACGTCGTCATTTAAGTTGCGCTGACGGCCAACAGAGGGCGACGGCGGCCGCTAATGCAGTTGTGTGGTTCTTATCTGTCAAATAAACACACGAAGAAGAAAAAAGACCGGCCACACGAAGAGAAGGGATTAGACGCCGCGGCAGACAGGGAGAATAAAAAAACATGGATCAAAATCTAAGAAAACGAAAAGAAAAGTGTGGGGCCGAGAAGGCAAGAGAAGAAAAGGTGAAGTCACTCGCAGGTGAAGCTGCTACAAGCACTATCAGCAGCAGCTTAGAACAACAAGTGCAAGATGATGAAGAGAATGATGAGCGCGAGTTCAGATATACAGCCAGCCTCCTGCGTTCACGATGAGAGACAGAGTTGAGCTGGTGGAAGAACCAGCTCACATACACGTGCAGGGCAAGAGGTGGGTCAAAATGATCCCTTGAACTCAGTGGCGTTTTCTCCTGGATGCCAAGGGAAGCCTGTTTTTTTGGATTGTAGTTATCATTTTAATAAATAAATAAAAACCCTTTGTTTAGTTTCGGTAATTATTCTGTGCTCGGTAATTATTCTGCCGGCCCGTCTCTCCCCCAGTCTCATTGAGTATTTTACAAAGAGTGAAACAGCGCCCCTCTAGATGTTATGGTGAAACAGTAGATTGCACTCTGTTGCGAGAGGAGGCCAGCTGAAATTGGCTTCCCTTGGTGAAAAAAAATGGAGGGATTGATCATCTAATCTCTGGGATTAGATGAGGCTCACGCCATGCCCCTGCCAATCTGTGATTGGTCAGGGCCATGCCAAGGGAAGCCAGAGGAGGCTGGCTTCCCTTGCCTCACAATCCAATCAAATTGCATCAACTTCAGTTCGTACTGTGACTGTCATCACCGCCCTTAGAAAGTAGCAAGCTACTGGAGGGTGGAGATTTGGAATATTTCATCAAAAATAATTTTACTAAACTTCCGCTACAGCAGCAACTAAAAATAAATCTGATGACAGGCCAATGCCCAAACTGGAGCTGTGCACAGAGAGGGAAAAAGGAACGAATCGGACGTAAAACTTTAAATAATAAACACCGGATTTCTAACATTTAACATTTCATGTGGCCGGACTAGGTCAGTTTCCAGGGCTGAGTTTTAGTCCCAGTCCGCCCCTGACTGAGTGACTCTCTGTATCACGATAGATATGATATCTCTGAAAAGGAATTTCGTGGAGACCTAATATCGTCATATCGCCCCCCCCTATGTTCTCTGTTTTCTCAGGGAAAAGGTTTCCTGCTTCAATAAACTAACTCTATTCAGAGTATACATACAGGATGTGATGAACCATCTCATCGTTAGAGGGACTGCCTGGAGAAAATGATTCCAGTTATGATAAACTCTTATCTTATTATCACAGTGTGTATGTTGGGAGGTTTTAAAAACAACAATACATCAATATCAAATGTTTGTTTGTGTTTATGAAGCAGTTCAGTTTCTCCTCAGGATGTCGACCACGTCTCAGAAACATCGGGACTTTGTGGGCGAGCCGATGGGCGACAAGTCGGTGACGAGTCTGTCGGGGATCGGAGAAATCCTGGGGAAGAAACTGGAGCAGCAGGGCTTCGATAAGGTCAGGGAAATACACTTAGGAGACACTTAGGAGACACTTAGGAGACACTGAGAAAACCCTTAATAAGCACCTTGGGATTGATGTGAGCAATGAAAGCTTTATAAATCGAATTTATTATTATTATTATTATAATAAAACACTTAGGAAACACTTAGAAACACTTAGAAACACTTAGGAAACACTTAGGAAACACTTAGGAAACACTTAGAAACACTTAGAAACACTTAGAAACACTTAGGAAACACTTAGAAACACTTAGAAACACTTAGGAAACACTTAGGAACACTTAGAAACACTTAGAAACACGTAGAAACACTTAGAAACACTTAGAAAACACTTAGGAACACTTAGAAACACTTAGGAAACACTTAGGAACACTTAGAAACACTTAGAAACACTTAGAAACACTTAGAAACACTTAGGAACACTTAGAAACACTTAGAAACACTTAGAAACACTTAGAAACACTTAGGAAACACTGAGAAAACCCTTAATAAAACACTTAAAAAGCATTTACAACTACCCTTAAAAACAACTAACACTTAAAATTAGACATAAAAAACAATTTAAATTTTGAACATATTTTAAGTGGGACCTCAAAACCCTCTAGGGGGGTCCGGGGGCACGCCTCAATCTGGTGCACTTTGAGGGGGAAATAAAGAGACTAGATCTATGGAACATCTTCTTGTGTGGAAGAAGATAGACAGTCACCCTGTGTGAGGCAGACCCACATTCGCGCAGCGTTGCGTTCTCAATACATACACAAATAAATCCCCAGGACAGCAGTCCACTTAACCCGGTCCTCCCGATGGCCAGTCGGGGCCTACCCTTTATCCATAAAGCACTTAAAAAACACCTTTTTAAATTGACATACTTAGAAACATTACATTAAAGTTTGTTGATGTACTCTCTCCCCCCCAGGCGTACGTGGTGCTGGGTCAGTTCCTGCTTCTGAAGAAAGACTCTGAGATGTTTTCTGAGTGGTTGAAGGACGCCAGCGGAGCTAACAGCCGACAGGCGGGGTCCTGCAGTCAGTGTCTGAGGGAGTGGTGCGACGCCTTCCTCTGAGGCCCCGCCCTCTTCCTCTGAGGCCCCACCCCCTCAGTCAGTGTCTGAGGGAGTGGTCAGACGCCTTCCTCTGAGGCCCTGCCCACTTACTCTGAGGTCCGCCCCCTCAGTCAGTGTCTGAGGGAGTGGTCAGACGGCTTCCTCTGAATCCCTGTCCACTTACTCTGAGGCCCCGCCTACTTCCCACAAGGCCCAGCCTTCTTCACCTGAGGCCCGCCCACTCCTTCACATGTCCCGCCCCTGTTCATCTGAGACCACACCCAATGTATTTGTGAGTGAGACGCCTTCCTATGAGGCCCCGCCCACGTCTCCCCACGCCCCTCCTCTGTTCATCTGATGCCCCAACCACTTACACCCACGCCCCGCCTTTGTTCATATATGGCCCCGCCCACTTCTCCCCACATCTGAGGCCCCGCCCACTTCTCAAAACGCCCCGCCTCCATTCATCTGAGGCCCCGCTCACTCCTTCCCACTTAACCTTCTTCCCCTTCTATTAGTCCCGCCTCTACTGTAAACTCCTCCCCTTCCTGTTTGTTCACCGTGTTTTTATTGTTATTATTTTGTGGAAAGCTAAATAAAGAGTTGTCAGCTTATTGTGACGCATTTAATCAAATGTTTCTCATACTTGCCAATTTTCTGCTAAAGTTTCTACTTCACTCATTTCTTCCTCTCTCATTAAAATGCTCCTTCCTGTATTAGTTATTAATCACAGGAGAATATAACCCTTGCTTAGTGAGGACAGTTCTCCCTGAACCTCCTGACACTCGAGAGGACGGCAGGGTTGTCCTTTACTGCGTTCAGTGAATGCAACAGAGGCAAGACACCCGACCAATCAGAGAGTTGGATGTAAATAAACGTGTCTTATTGGCTGACAGGTACCTGACAGAGGATCATTTGAACAATGTTAGCACTATTAAAATCATTAGGAATAAGAAGGCAATTAAAACTAATTTGATATTTAAAACATATTTAATCTGAAGTTTCAAAATGTATTTCTTTGTCTGTCTCTGTCTCTGTCTCTGTCTCTCTCCCTCTCGCTCTCTCTCTCGGTTCCCCTGTCCTCCATCAGGGGGCGCTGCAGCACCGTCAGCACCTTCTTCTCACGGCTCTGAATGAAAGCGTGGATCACAGTTTCCAGGTCTTGGGTAGAAAGGAGGATTTGATGTTTGTAATATTTCTGAGGTGATAAAAGCACGGATGAGTTATAGACTGGGACAGAGAAGTTTGGCCAGCGGCGGTGTCCCCCCTTTTTAAAAGACTCCTTGGTTTTATGAAAGGCACTATATATAAATATAAGTCATTCTTAATATTATTGTCAGCATTTAGCTGCAGGAAGTTTTGAGAGATCAATGTGTGGAAGCTGGAGGCAGTTGAGGAGATGAACAGTGTCAGAGAGAGGGTCCCAGCTTCAATGAATCAACTGCATAACCATGGAAACAACTCTCACAGCCCCAGTCCCCCAAACTGGGGTCTGGACCCCCTCAACTCTAACCATCAGATCAATGTCTTCCTGTGCAGCAAACTCAAGATATCAACATGTTCAGATCAGAAGTCCAGACACGAAGAGCGTGGCTTTGAGGTCAGTCCAAACCTAGAGATTACCTGATAACTCTAACCCTTCAGAGTTTCCATGACGATGAGATAAAGAAGTCACGATGTTGGACTACCAAAGAGACGCTGATGCTGAGGGTTGATACAGATTCAGAGCACTTTACATACGAGTCATTCACACCACTCAGATACCTCCACCATCTGCACCTCTTTAAAGAGCGTGTTCACTATGTGTTTGACTCCTTGAAAACGCTTACAGTCAAACATAAGGCAAATGTAATTAAAATGGTAAAGCTATACAAAAATAGTTTTCAAAGTAAGAATCAAAAGCAAATTCTTGTCAAAGATTAAAAAGCAAACTTATCTCAAAATAAATGAATATTATCATGTCAAACAAAAAAAGAATATAATGATTAATAATCATGTATATCCAGTGGCGGTTCTACGGGGTGGCACGGGGTGGCAGCTGCCACCTCAGAAAAATGCCTTGCCACCCCAGTTGACAGCTTTGTTTTGAAAGAAAAGTTGTGGCTCATCGGACATTTATGAGAGAAAATCTCTAATGTCCGAGTGCAAGTGAATGCAGCACAAGACGTGAGCCTTGTGACCCCTCCCCCGGCCCTGGCGCGAGCCTGGAAATATGATTGGCAGCGATTTCATTTGAACGGGGGGACAGCGCAAAACGAGAAGCATTTCGGATCCAAGTAGACGGAAGGAATGAGCTGTTTGCGATGACAGAGAAGAGCCTGTCAGGTTTGGCTGTAAGGCAAGTTTATTTATATAGCACTTTTCTGTATGAGACAATTCAAAGTGCTTTACAAAACAAATTAAAATACTTTTTAGGATAAATACAGTAAAAACACATATATAATGTCATTTTACAACAGGCATTACAAAGCAAAGATAATAAAATAATTAAAATAAACACCACAGGTAT